ACCCCGCCCCTCAAGCCCCTCCTTGCTCCTCCAGCTGAATCTGCTGCACAACTTTACATGACGCCTTGGGGCGCTAACTTCAGCAAGCCATGACACACAGCAAACATTAAGTCTTGTAGCTTTATGTGGAACACCTGAAGGAATCTTCGATGAGTAGTTAACTCTAGAGGCCTTAAATGGCTCTGACCCCACGGCACTTTTGGTGTTAGCCAGCTTTCGTGGCTTTTTTTTTTTTTTTTTGGCGCGGGGCGGTGCTGGCTTTGTTCTCTCTTTGTAGCTTTTTAAAAAAAAATGATTTACGTTTTTGGCTTTTTTAAACTTTTGGGATTTTTACTGAATAGGCATTTTTTGGTTTTGTTTTATACACGGTCCTCCTAGGAGTACACTGCCTGTCCCCCAGGCCTTCCTTTGAAATCTAGGCGGAAGCCTCCTCATAATTTCAGAACTGTTACATTTTCCGTGTGCCTAAAAGCAGTGCCGCGTGGGTGATGGATGCCGAGGTCTGTTGCGCTGGAGTGCGGATTCCCGGAAGCAGCTTCTTTACGCCAGCCCCGCTTCGGAGCCTGCTGGGGCGGCCCCAGCATTCTAGAATGTGGGGCTCGGCGGCCTTTTTCCCAAGGCAAGTGCCCAAACTTGCGATTTGGAGGCTGCAAAGGGAGGCGACCTACCCCTTCCCGTGATGGCCTCAGGCCACCATTTTTATTTTCTGGTTTCTTTTTGGCAAGGGAGATCCTCTCAGCTCTGTCTTTGTGTTTCACAGCTTCATCGGAGTTTATTTTCTGGCCAAACTCACAACACTGAAAATCATCCGCCTGGGCTCTTGATTCTCAACATAAATCTGTAAAGCCCAAATAATGTTAAGATCACATATAGAAATAAATAGATAAAATGTGTTTCAATTAAAAGGACCCACTCACTGGTTTACGGCCCTAGGACCTGAGCAAGCCATGTTCCTAAAACAAAGAGGACATAAGAAAACCTTGGATGGGGTCCTGTTACTTGAAAAGCAACTAAAACCACCGAGTTAGGCAAGAAGTTGCCCTTGGCCCTCCCTTTGTTTAAATTCTTGCAAGAGACATACATTCCCAAACCCAAGACCTCACTACTGAAAGCCATAACAACAGGATGTCCCAGGTCACAATGCCTCGATTTCTTAAAAATGTTCCCGGAATATGACAACCACAAGGTTAGTCCCCCCAGCTACCCCCGGACGTACTCCATTTGGTCATCCGGTATTGTAATCCACCAATTATTTTAAAGGTCAACCTACACTAACCAATGCGATTTGCTTCTGTAACTTGCTTGCTCCC